GCTCTTAAAATGCCTAAAAGTCAAAATATGGTGTGTGAAGGTTGACTTTTAGATTGGTGGCTTTTCTGAAAAATGTAACAATGGGGACAGCTTCAAATGGCCATTTTAAAGTTGTATGAATGGTCTTTGAAGTGTTTTTGGGTTTAGACAAAGGATTGGTATGAAAAATGGAAAGTGGCTAATTTAGTGTTTTTGTGACTTTTCTTCACTTACAAGCAAGAAGGGAAAGAAGGAGAACTATATGTTTATGATGCTTGGGATAGTTCTGGTGTGAAAAATAGAGTGTGGAGAAACCTCTATTTATAGGCCATGAGGAGCTTGAGGCAGATTTGGTTTTTCACCACTTTTTGAGGGAGATTTGAGATTTTCAAGTGAATCTTGCCAAATCTTTGTAGCAGCTCCAACACATCAGCTCCATGGACAAATGTTGAGCCAATATCAGCTGAGATGGGAAGGATGGGATGGCTATGGAGATAGGGGACTGCAGCTGCCCAACTTTGGAGAAAAAGTTTCTCTTTCATGGTTTTAATGATTATTTTAATATCCACTTGTTACCAACTTGCCATGCTTACCAAACTAACTCATTTTCTGGTTTTCTCCTTATCCACACCTCTCATTATCAGTTTGAATTAAAATCCAAGGGTTGAGGATAGTCCAAGTTATGAAAAACTGATTTTGAGAAGTTTGGCTAAAGTAATTTCAAGTGTGACAGGCCCAACTTCCATGTACCATACCTCTTAGCTCACAAATCCTCTTGAGGAGTTCTTGTACTTTTTAGAAAGCCCTCATGTAGCTCTACAACTTTCATGTTTTGGGAATTTCCAAATTCTTGATAGAACTAGGTTGAAAAACCCTTCAAAGTTCTGAAAAAGTGGTTTGTATGGCTAGAATTTGTGAAATTTCACTAAGTCCTTTACCCTTGAAAATTGATTTTTGCTATAACTCCAATTCCATGCATTTTTTTTAATATGGACCAATGTGGGACTTTTGTAAGGTTTGTCAAGACCTTTCAAACAAGCTTAGAACCACTCCAATTGGATGTGTGGTTGAGGAGTTATGGTCTTGCCCCTTTCGAAACCCTAATTCCCGATTTTTGCAATTACTTCCTAACCCTTGATCCAATGGTCATGAAATTTTATGTGGAGGTGTAATATGATATAAGGAACATTTTTCATTCACACTTTGAAGTCAAATTCTTTATTGTTGGAGAGTTGACTTTTCGGTCAACCGTTCGATCGATCGGTGTCTATCGAGCCGCCCGTTGGTGATCCGGACATCCTGGGGACTTGAAACTCTTTGGATGGACTTTACTAAGCCATAGGAGCTTAATGGACCTTGATCCCACCATTGAAATACTCTTTGAATCAAAAGTCAAACTACAGCTGACTTTTTCTGATCGAAAACCCTAATCGGGTGTCTCAAATTGCACTGTTCTCAATCTTCGGGTGACCACCTCAAATTGCTTTCATTATTAATCCAATGTATCATCCTTGATTTTGTTTGAAGTTGGATCAATCCAAAACATTGATTGATCAAACCCTTGAAGTTTCGATTTTTGACGGTACGGAACCCTAATTCATCTGTATCTTAACAAAGATAACTGAAAATGGGTTAAGGTTAATTAATCAAGTGAATATGATCCTATAATGATGATGTGGATCTAAGGGGTCAAAATTTGGGGTGCAACAGCGGGTATGTGATAATAGTGACGAATAACGATGTTCGCAACCATTCGGCAGATTAGATGAATACATGTAAAAAGGGTTAAGCGTATTACGTATTTTGATCATTGTGTTTTATTCAAAACAATCGTTTATCCGATATGGGTTTCGTCTTTGTTTACCTATTTATCTTTGATTTGAATCGTGATAGAGATATACTTTTCAGATCTGGATCTAGGATGAATACCTGTTAGGTCTTAAATTCTAGAGATAGATTTAGGCTTAGCATTTGCGTGAGTATCAGTTCGTAATGCTCTGTGTTGTGTTTTTGTTGGATGAGAGATCACCAATGAGACAACACGGTTGTTCTCTCGATGTTGCGTTAGAGATGAGCTTTGTCGTGGGTGATACGTAAGTGTATTAGACGAATGATTGCATTGTGTTTAATTTGATCAGAAGAATGCATATGTTATCAATTGATGAAATCCAATCCCAACAAGGCTCCGTTTATATTTCAGTTTTAATTTATATTTTCTGTTTTTATTTATGGTTCCTTGAACCTTTTAAACCAAAAATTTTGAACAATAGGCTTAGAAATATGGAGAACATTGAACGGCGTTCGTTCGCGCCGATCTCTGTGGAGACGACAAAACTGGGTACTTAATATTTTTTGCTTGCTGCTTTACCGCACCAACAGGTGCACAATGAACTTCAAAACCATGTCTTGTCCAAATAAATGACCTCATGAACTCCTGATAATCCTCTGATGAGCCTCTGATAACCCTCAAGATAGGAGGTAACAAACACGCACCAATCTCTCCCTTCAAAGAGCTTTGAAACTTCTCCATGATGATGAAACCCTGATGGCTTGTACAAATGCTCTGACTTGAGTTTGAGCAATGAAGCTCTCCTCTTGAATGGCACAAGACACCTCTTGATCCCTTGTAGAGAATAATGTTATGCAAATGCTAAAATGGAATGAAACACAAGCCAATTTAAGAAGAAAATGTTGGTCAAATTTTGAGGTACAACAGTAGGTAGCATAACTGCGTGAGCTAACAAGGTGAGACCAATCTCCATTATTTGTCTATATTTTCTTTCCACTGTTCCATGTTGGCGTGAAGTATGAGGGAATGTGTATAATGCCTTATTCATTAGGTAATTGAGTAAAAGGTTCAAATTCACCACCAAAATCAGACTAAATAGACTTGATCATACCCTGAAATTGTGTGTCAAGATACTTTTAAAACAATTTGAAAGCTGAGATAAAATCACTCTTATGTTTGAAGAAGTAAATCCAAGTGTATCTTGAATATACATCCCTAAATTCTATGTAGTAGTTGTAACCATTGCTCGACGGGAAGGGTGATGGTCCCCATAAATCATTGTAAACTAGCTCAAATAATTTGCTATACTTGGTATTGGACAAAGGAGCATAAAACTTATTTGACTTGTCAAGACAACATGAATCACAAAAATCACTAAAGTTTTTTTTTTTTACTTAAATATTACACAATTTAAAAATGCTTGCACATTTCTAGGATTGACATGGCCTAATATACCATGCCAAATTGCAATAGGACTAATTCCTATACTCTTATTTGATGACTGACAAGTAGTATGCAAATTTGCATCTAAAATAGTATTAACTATTAGACTTCAGCAACGTGACTTGTGACTCAAGACAGTTCTTGAAGAATATAAAGAAATATTGGGGAAGAAATACAAGTCACTTTCATCTAGTAAGCCTTCAAAGAGCACATGATTAGATGCCTGAGATTTATTAAAGCATTTGTTAGAGTGAAATTAAAATTAGACACTATTGTCCTTAGCAAATTTGGAGACTGAAATTAAATTTCCAGTGATGTAAGAGACATAAAGCAAGTCATTAAGAAGCGTGGAGGAAAACTTTGAGAAACCTACATATTTAACATATAGACTTTGTCCAGTGCAGCTTCTATGAAGCTTGAATCTTCAACAATGACTACAAGCAGTTGAAGATTGTTATGCATTGGAAATCATACTCCTCTTGGTGATTGATACCATATTAAGTTTTAACAATGGCTCATTGAAGACATTAGAGAGAGAGATGAAGAATAGATACCAAGATGTTCTTGCTGAAACTTTGTTTTGCACTCTTTTTTATTGTGATTGGTTAACCTTTACATTGTGCATGATCTAATACTTATACAAGTAGAATTACTGTGATATTTTTAACACATGTAAAAGTTAGTTACACACTCCTAACTAACTTCATAACAATAGTAATACTAAATAACACTTTAACTACTTTAACTAACTCATCTCTAACACTTCTCTAATATTAGAGCATAAGTTCAAGTCTCAAATCCAATGTATACAACTAAAAATTAAACTGGAACTCCAAAATTTTGTCTAATAAAAAAGGATTAAAAACAAAACAATCAAAATAATTCTAAAATTTGACTTTTAAATTTTTTAGAAATAATTTAAATTAAATTCAATACTACTAAAAAAATTAGTACTTATTAAAAAAATATGAACACTTCGGTACCCTTTAAATTTTATTGAATACCAATACCCTCAATTAATTAAATAATATAATTTAATATTATGTCACTTTTTTATTTTATTTTATTTTACAATAAATTTAAATTTTAAAACAATTTAATATTTTACCTTAAAAAAAGCATCATAACCTCAAACTTAATTTACATTTTATCGTAAAGAAAAAACACTAGCACTTTCTCAATTTTAAATACTGAACCAGACTTTCCTATACCAACAAAATTTAATCAGTGTTCTTTTTTTATTTATTCTTTTAATTTTCTTCTTTTATCAGTATTTATTTTTTTAGAATTTATTTTTAAATAATAGTCTTGACAGTTTTTCTTAGCACATACAAGACTCACATTTATCAATAATAGTTTCCTCTTTTCTTTTTTTAATAGGTCAACTCGTGTGCATTGCATGGTCTTTTTATTTACATTTAGTGTACAACGGGTCTATTTATTTTGTAATTTTCTAGCAACTTCGAAATCTTAGTGGCTTAATACTTTTTCTTGAGTTGAAATAATTATATTTTCAGTCAACTTTGATTCCTTTATTTCATTAGTGTTCTCACTTTGAATATCAACATGTGTGGCACACAAAACTTTGACGGTTCCTAAAAATGCTGCCTCATGCATGACGAAATTTCTGAGTCTTTATATTGCATGTTTCTCACACCAGGTCCTTCAAGTTATTAGGTCAACTCACCACAAAGGCACAAACCATATATATTTGCCTATCAGATTCTTTTTCATCAATATATTCTTGTATAAATTTGGAACCTAGGGTTATATTGAAATATACCTAGCTATGGTCATGGACAAAGTGACTCAATATTTACGTGTGTTTAACCACTTTGATGAAAATGGAGATGGAAAGATATCACCGTCGGAGCTACGGGGATGCGTGGAGGCGATCGGAGGCGAGATGTCGAGCGATGAGGCTGAAGTGGCGGTGGAGCTTCTCGACTCGGACGGGGATGGACTGGTAGGGTTGGATGATTTTGTGAGATTTGTTGAGGGAGGAAAAGAGGAAGAGAAAGTGAAGGATTTAAGAGAGGCTTTTAAGATGTATGAAATGGAAGGGTGTGGTTTTATTACACCAAAGAGTTTGAAGAGAATGCTTGGAAAATTGGGTGAGTGTAGGAGTGTAGATGAGTGTAAAGCTATGATTGCTAAATTTGATATTGATGGAGATGGAATGCTTAGTTTTGATGAATTTAGGGTAATGATGTTTTAACATATAAATATTTTGATTTCTATGTTTCTTATATTAGTAGTATGTATAGAGAAAATAAGAGGATGAAATTATGGTAAATATGAGTAATTAGAAAGATTCATGAATAATGTTGTGTGTTATGTTTTCATCAAATGTACATTCACTTTTTTTTTTACATGTTCAATGTCTCTAGCAATTTGACATTATGTTTTCAAGCGGTTTGATCGGTGTTATGATGTGAGACATTGCAAATGGTGGAGATTTTTTTTTGTGTTCAAGGCATGTGGAAGGAAAAAACGTGACAAAATTGTTTCATTTTGGTTGTCAATTTTCTTTAACGGGGAAGTAGCACATTTTTTTTCAGAGATTATTGATAATATACTAAAAGGGGAAGTCAAGGGATTCAAATTGAAATTTAATCTTCATTTAGGTCCGTTTTGTTATTGTTTGCGAAAAAACAATTGAGCGGACTAAGTAGAGAGTTGACTACCGTAAAAAATAAAAAGGCAGGGTGAGACTGGCCATGCCACTCTCTTAAAATTTAAAAGTGAGAAAAGATCATGTCCTCCTTATGATGAAAAACTAATATACAATAACAAATCAATACGCATCGAAAATAAAATTTCATAAATTTGTAAAAATTTATGAGAATCAACAACAAATGTATGGTAGCTAATCTAACGAATAAAGACACAAGAGAACTCCGATATTTTAATGTAAACAACTCTCAGAGTAAAAAACCATTTTAAATAGTTGTGTTCTCTTGTGTTTTTATTTGTTTAATTTGTTGTCATACATTTGTTGTTGATCCTCATAAGTTTTTATAAGTTTGGAGAATTTTATTTCTGTTGCATATTGATTTGTTATTGTGTGTTAATTTCCCATCAAAATGGTATCAGAACTCTTGGCTAGGGGATATTTTACTTGTTTGAATAATGGAGTCAAATTCAAATATGAAGATGATATTGTTGAATAAGTTTAATTACTATTTATGGAAGGGTAAGATGAAAGACTTACTATTTGTGAGAAAGTTGTATTTACATGTTTTTAGTTCCATAAAGATGAATTTTGTGTCTGATGAAGAATGAGAGTTTGACCATCTACACGTATGTGGTTTTATTCAGTAATATGTAGAAGAAAATTTTTATAATCATATTGGTAATGAAACACATGCAAAAAATTTGTGGGAGGATATATAACTCTTGTATGCCTATAAATCAGGGAATAATAAATTGTTCTTATTCATTAGCTTCGTAAGTTTGTAGTATAAGAGGGGACTTCTAATTCAAATCACTTGAGTGAATTTCAAGGGTTTCTTGATCATATTTTATGAATGGGTATCAAATTTGATGATGAATTTTTTGGACTATTTCTCTTGTTAGCTTTACTAAAGTCTTGGGAGACGTTTCAAATTTCTTAATGAGGAGATGAGAAGGAAGACATATGGTTCTTCATCTCAATTTGATGTACTTGCCACTAAAAATAAAAGGAGAAGTCAGAAAGAAGAACCAAAGGGTGGTAGAGAGAATAGTAAAAGCAAGTCCAACTTGAAATACAAGAATCTAGAGTGTAATTATTGTCATAAAATAGGACGCATACATAAGTATTGCTATCAGTGGAAAAGGGATAACAAAGCCAAGAAAGGAAAGTATAAACAAAGAGGTCATGGTGATCTTGTTACTATTGCTACTAGTGATGGTCTTGTTATTCTTCGTGATCATGTGTCTATTAATCTTATATCATACAAGAGCATGTGGATACTTGGCAGTGGTGCTACGTTGGATGTTACATTAAGGAAGGAGTTCTTCATATCTTATACTTTTGATGACTTTGGAGTGTTAAAGATGGGTAATGACGGTGTATCTAAGGTATTTGGTGTTGTTTGCTTGCAAACTCACATGGAAATGAAATTTTTGCTTAGATGTGTTAAACATGCTCCAAATGTCTGCTGTAATTTGATCTTTGTGCATATACTTGTTGATTATGGTTATGACAATCACTTTGGTTCTAGAAAGTAGAAATTCAAAAAAGGTAACTTGGTTGTGGCTAGAAGGGAGATACTTTCTAAACTGTATTGGAAAAAGTTTTGGTTGTTAGGGACAGTGTGAATGGTATCGATATTACTCATGGAGTAATATTTGTGGCACCGAAGAATTATTCATATTAATGAAGAATGGCTGAATATTTTGGCCAAAAAGGATGTGCTTACAGGATTAAAGAATGCAAATTTGAAGAAGTGTCCTTAATGCATGGCTGGTAAGTGTACTAAAGTATCCTTTAAGAGACATCCTCCCTTGAGGAAGTCAAAGTTGCTTCACCTGGTATATTATGATATTTGTGGTCTATTAAAGGTAAAATGCTTTAGCGGCACACTTTATTTTGTTATCTTTATTGATGATTTTTCCAGGAAACTATGAGTTTATGCTTTAAAGATAAAAGACCAAGTGTTGGAAAATTTCAAAGAATTTCATGCTTTAGTAAAGAGGCAGACATATGAAAAGCTCAAATGTCTTCGTTCTGACAATGGCGGTGAGTATTATGGACCCTTTGATTCCTATTGCGAGAAGCATAGTATTGCACATTAAAAGACTCCTCCTAAAATTCCTCAATTAAATGGTTTAGCAAAGAGGTTGAACTGAACACTAACTGAGAGAGTGGGGTGTACGCTTTTTGAAGCTAAGTTACCCAATCATTATAGAGGTAAGGAACTTTACACGGAAATGCATTTTTGTGAAGGGAAATCACGATATAATATGCATTGGAAAACACAAATTTCTCATTAGTTGATCCATACGAATGAGCATGATCAATGATAGAAATAGTTACCTATTATGGTGATTAAAACCTTTGATGCAAAATTAGATGAATGATTATAAGCGATGAACAAAGAATAACGCATCTACCCATTTCACACAAATAGAGTGCCTTAAATATCAGTATCAGTTGCTACGAATGAAGACTTCGAGAGAAATAGAGCTCAAAACAAATTTGGATCAAGTGAAAAATCTTTTGCACAAGGGTTCTATTTATAGAACCACTTGTATGGGATGTAAGATAAAAATACCACTTAAGTGGGTTATATCTTATGGTGTATTATATTTCACTTAAGCACACGGTACCTTACCGTATTTCGTATTCCACTTAAGTGCATCGTACCTTATGGTGTTCTATAGTTCACTTAAGTGCATCGTATCATACAATGTTCCTTATGTGTGTGACATTATAGATTTTCGTGACATTGAGAATTATATTAAATCATACATTTAATATAATAAACACTGAGCGCTATCTATCTATACTTCATTATTACCTAAGTCACAAAAACTTCATGTGATTTAACAAAACATTTATGTGATAATGTTTGTGTATAATTACCTTTATTCCCTCATGTCTATATTAAAGATAAGACATAGACAGTGTCACCCTTGTCCAATTTAATATTAAGCCCTTTTACATTTATCATGTTACCCAGGATGGGAAAACTCCACATAGGTCACTCATGCCCCTCAATATGATTTGTGGAGTAGCCATCAATTTTCTTTATGTTCATCAAGTTACAGACAAAATTTAATCAGCAATAAAGTATTCAACTCCACACCTAAGGTCCATACGAGTTTTAGGTCGAAGGGTGGTATACACCAATATCATCATGAGAACAGCTTATGACACTTTGCATAACATTCTATGTAGTATTCTCATAGCGGGTCAATCTTGTATAAATATTACTCATAATATTCATGCCTATGTGAAGACTTGATACATATTTATCCATGATCCATGAGATGTGATCATCTGTCTATCCACATCATAGTCTTAGTGCTTTAATGTCTTCCCATTTCACAATAAAGCTCAACTACTGATACTTTAAAAATAATGCCCTTATGTCTAATGAAATCTCATGATTATGTCACACTTAATGTTTAATTAAATGGACTAGTTATTCTAAGGACTTTAATATTTTAAAAAAGCAAACATAATAAAGAAATGTCTTTTAATTATTAATAAATATTTCGATACAAGTACCAAGTTCTAACAAAACTATTGGCCTCTAGGGTTTACACCAACAGTTCTTAATCTCACTCCTACTATTGTTTTAAATAGTGAAGTTCCAGAAAAAAATTTGTTTGGAAAGAGTGTCAACTATGACCATTTTAGAGTCCTTGGACATAATTGTTTTGGGTGCATATTCCAAAGGATGAAAGATCCAAGTTGGATAAAAAGTCAAAATAATGTATCTTCATCAACTATGGGCAAGATGCGTTTGATTACAAGTTTTATGATCCTGTATGGAAGAAGCTTATCAGAAGCCGAAATATGTTATTTATGGAAGACCAAACTATTGAAGACGTTTATAAGGTGGAGAAGACTACACTCAAGAAAGATATTAGTTTGTCTAATATTGATCCAGTTCGATTACCTGTTTATAATTTGGATACTATTGATGGTGGTGATTAGAGCCACATGATTGTGTTGATCATAAACAAATTGAAGATGAGGTAAATTTTCCTACTAATGATGATGAAAAGGAAAATGATATATTTCTGGATGAGAATCTTGGTGAAGCTCCATAATCATTTCAAGTTTAACTTAGAAGGTCTAACAGACAGAGACAACCTTCTACAAGGTATAATTCTTATGACTTTGTGGTCTTGATTGATGAGAGTAAACCTTAATTTTTGAAGAGGTTGATGAAAGTGGTGAAAATTAAAAGTGATTGGATGCAATGCATGATGATATGAAATCATTGTAGGATAATCACACTTATGATTTAGTGAAGTTGCTTAAAGGAAAAAGGGCTTTGGAAAACAGGTAGACTTATAGAGTTAAACATAATAGCAACTCTAAGTCTCCAAGGAATAAATCCAAATTAATGGTGAAAGGTTTTCATCAAAGAAAGGGTGTTGAATTTAATGATATTTTCTCATATGTTATGGAGATGTCATCAATTAGAACCATGTTGAGTTTAACTATTACTCTTGATTTAGAGGTTGAGTAAATGGATGTGAAAACAACTTTCCTTT